CAACGATTACCTAGTGATTACCATGGATTACCGGCGATTACCCTGGATTACGTAAGATTACCAAGGATTACCAGCGATTTCCAAGGATTACCGGCGATTACCAAGGATTACTGGCGATTACCAAGGATTACTGGTGATTACCAATGATTACTGGTGATTACCAGGGATTACCTACTCTGTGTACACCTGATTACCTCAGTTGGGCACCCCTCGACTTAGGCCTGCGGCGCTGACACCCCAGTCGGGAGGCGCAAAAATGTACACAAAGGTACGGGCCTTCGGCCCGTTAACTTCCCGTCACTTCGGCTAAGAATGCAGTGTTGTACATTTTTCGTTTATTTTCGTCAAAAACTCCCTGTGGCGCCGAAATGGTTAAAGATACACTGAGAAGCCTATCATTCTGCACCAGCCATACCCGCGCAAGGTGAGCAGGGCGGCGCGCGGTATCAAACGGCGCGGCCCGGCCGAAATTTTCACACACGTTGCGCAGTAGGTAAACGGTGTCTTAGGACAACAGGGGGGGGGGGGCGTTGGAATCAGACGATCAATACGCACCTAATAGTCAACGACTCGTCGAAATGATTTTCTTTTAAACACACCCTAGTGTCAGGGCTAAGCGTGTTGGAATGAAGGCTTAGGCGTTGAAGCACGTCCAGCAAATATTTTTCACCGGGTTTAAGACTTAAAGTCAAATCATCCAGTTTTACCATCACCTCGTCGGCATGCGCAGGCGCCACGACTAGAAAAGCAATTAAAAGCCCACTGAATTTTCGTTACCTTATCACTGGGAGTGCTCCAACCACACCCAGAGAAATGATTAGCAATGGCAACCATCATATGGTTGGCTCAGGGAGCACCATAAAATATGGTTGATGCAACCTTACCGTGGTAGTGAGAACCAAAAATATGGTTTTCATCACGTTATCACTGTTGTCTCAACCATATTTTATGGTGCTCCCTGAGCCGACCATCAGATGGTTGCCGTTGCTAATCATTTCTCTGGGTGCACTCCCTGTGCGAACGCTGTGCACTAAACAAATTCTGCAAAAAAAACAAAAACAAACAAAAAAACGAACATAAAGCATTTCAGGCAAATTTTGATATAGGGACGAATGTCCACATATTTGCTAAATTGTGTGTTCCATGCAATCTAAAACGGAAGTAGGAAAAAACAAACTCACTGACCTTTCTGTTTCCGTAATGGCTCTGATTGGTCGAGCTAATCATGTGCCTCCTCGGCCTTTTCAGGTGTGAGAAACTGTCAGATCAGTTTCGAGCTCCCCTCCATATTTGAGAGTTTGGGATCGGACCAAACTTCCATGGTAGTTTCTCATACTGGGCGGATGGAAACAGATAAATCAGTGAGTTTGTTCTTTTTCACTTCCGTTTTAGATAGCCTGGACCCTATTGAGGTTTTAATGTCATCTGGAACATAATTTTATTCTTCATATGTAGAACAAAACGGCACATTCATATCTATCATAGTTCCAGAGTTACACACATAGCATAAAAGGACGTATGTCCATGAGTGATATGACAAAACGACGAATGTCCATAGTATTTTCAACAACCAACAACCAAATGGTCAAATCGGCGAATGTCCCAATAAAAATTTGACAAAAGGGCGAATGTTCATATGTCAATTGGTCTACATGGCGAATGTCCCAATAAAATTTGACAAGACATTCACCAATTTGTCAAAGCAGTTTTGGACGTTCACCTTGTGCGGCGAGCCATTCGTAATGGTCCGGGAGAGTAGGCAGCCTCCCATTGGCTCCCGTCACGAGGTTCTAACACCGGCCGCTAGGGCGCGGTACAGGATAGGTTTAGCTGGTCAGCTGTTTGTGTGTTGCTCACCACTTCTGTACGAACCTCTGTTACGGAATAAACCTCTTGCAACCTGAGCCTGACGTCTCATCGATCCTCGACCCGACACACACCTCTTTGTCAAATTGTTCAGGGACATTTGCCAATTTGACCGATTAGGATATAGACATTCGTCCATTTGTCAAAATTTATACCTGGCAAAAACTGGCGAATGTCCCTTATCTCCCATTCTATTCAAAATAATGACACAAGCTAAAAAGCAAAATGTAATGCAATACTAAAGAAGTATTTAAGATAACTATCGAAGGTGTGGCTTCAAACCGCTATCTTGCAGGTTAAAAGAGAACCTTATTTCCTCTCTCCTGAAAACTTAGCGGGTTTGGACATTCGTCCCTTTATCCAAATTTGCCTGATTTCGAAAGGAAAATTCACAGGATATGTTTTCGCTGTTTTCAAATAATTCCTCGTTTACGCTAACATGGCATTTCGTTTAAGAGGTGATGCGGAAGAGGAGAAAATAATTTCACTTAAGGTAGCAGGTAGCATACTGTAAACAGTACTCGCTACGTTTGTCCAATAACGAGTTTTTGCTTCTTTTAAGGGGGCAGACCTGTGAGATACGAGGGTCAACAAGAGTTTAGAAGATACTTTATTTAAAAAAAAACTACGAATCGGAGCGTGATAAACGAAAGACCCTTTTCATAAGAATGAATTGGGCTACAATTTGGCGTATGCACATACTGAGCACACCTCCGTGAACCCGATCCTCCTGGCCTCGAAGTGGACGGTTGCACCTCGTCGTGGCGTGCATGACTTGGACCGAACGGATGGAGTTGGGATAATGACAAAAATCGTCACTTACTCTTAAGAGATGCGGCTATCGCGTGACGAGAGCGTTTTTCGACATTTCACTTCTAAGTTACCGGAAATGGGCAAAATGTGTTGAAATTTTGACCCATTTTTTTAAACCAAACCTTGACATTTTTTTCTTTTAATATTAAAAATGAAAAATATCAAAATCCCTCTCGTCATGCGATAGCCGCATCTTTTAAGAGTAGATATCATTTTTTGTCGGTGTCGCAGGTTTATCCGTTCGGTCCAAATCGTGCACGCCACGACGAGGTACAACCGTCCACTTCGAGGCCAAGCAGACCGGGTTCACGAAGGTGTGCGCAGTATATGCATACCCTAAATTGTAGCCCAATTCATTCTTATGAAAATGTTATTACGTTTATAACGCTGCGATTCGTGGTTTTTATTTAAATAAAATATCTCCTAAGCCCTTGTATTTCACTGGTCTGCCCTCTTAACACGTTGAGTCCCACGTGACCACACGTATGGTCCAATAACCCGTAATGAGCACCCCCCCCCCCCCTGGGACTCAACGTGTTAAATAAAATTAATGTTTTGTTCTACGTCTCCCTTCTTATAGTTACTAGTCGACGTACATGTATGAGATATCCGGGACAACGACGTACATGGACAGAGCTTAAAATAAACTGTTTTGTTGTCGGCCAATTGACTTTATCCTTCCTGAAGGTTGAAGTCGAGATCAGCGATGCCATTTCTTATCTGGCAGTATCTGCGGTTTGGGGTCGGGGCACTTGACGCTTGCATGGAGTATGCCGTTCTACGAAATTTCCTGGTCAAAGGAGGATAAAAGGCACTGGGTGGACACGGCGTGGCATCACCTCCTTGTAAGGAATAGCCTGGGCAGCTACAAGACTCGAGCCACCATGATCAAGCTGGCGTGTACCTTGGTGGTACTAGTGGCAGTGGCCTCGTGGTGCCCACCAACATTGTCCGCCTCGGAGATCGGTAAGTAACTACCTCAAAGAAATGTATGTACTGTTAAAAATTTTATGAAGCCTTTGAAAAAAAACAAAAGAATCATAACATCCCAAACAATCCTAAGCGAAAGTGAAGGCTAATACGAGGGGGTAATCACTTTTGGAAAATGCGTACACCTTAACTTTTCACTTTCCTACTTTCATTCACTTTTCGTTCTTTTCCCTCCACTTTTCCATTGTTTTTCAATGTTTACCTCCTTTTTATGCTTGTATCGACTCTATTCTATTCATTTTTGATCTGATCAACGCACCGCTCGTCTCTTTTGACAACATTTTCCTTCCGTTTTCACCATTTTCAGTCAATTTTTTGTCACTTTTACTTTAACTTTTACGAAATGTGTACACCTACTTTCTATAGTGATTACCCCCTCGGGCTAATACGTCGCTGCTGATTTATTTGAGAGGGCAGACCTGTACAGGTGTTTGGGAAAATCGGAACTACAAGAAAACTAAGAATCGTAGCGCTTTCAACGAAAGGTATTTACAAAAACGAAGTATGAAGCTACATTTTTATGTATATAACGTTTGCGTGTTCCTCTGACAACATGCTCTTCTTTGCTTTAAAGTGGGGGAAGGGGGGGGGGAGTGACAATACTTTTCCGTGTTCAGGATTACGCATCAACGGATGGACCTACGACAGTGACAACACTGCCCAAAGGCTCATGAGAGATGCTTTCGTTTGAGGAGAGCAATATTTAAAATTTTAATTTTAAGTGTCATTTTTCCCCAAAGTCTGGGTTCCTAAGATTTAGGTGAAAAGAGTGTACTGTGCAACCTTCCTAAATTCACTTAAATTTCTTCAATTAACTTTGTAAATCGGGAGCAAGAGAATAGATTAGAGCGACTGAACCTGTTTCGGATCAGATTTTCGATTTTCCTCGCTGTGCCGTAACAGGCGAGTGCTAGAACCGCCACGACTAGAGGTAATGATAGTCGACTTCTTCCTTTACAATTCGCAATTTTTTTAGGGTTGTCGCTGCACCCGTTTTGGAGATATGACAGTTGGCCGAAAGACGTGTTTTTGGTCCGAAATAGGACTTGTGAACCTTATTCGGATCAGCGAAAATACGTTCACAGCCAAATCGTTAATAGACCTGTTAAAAATCATTCGACACCAAGAAAGGATACTCTGAGTACCCTAAAATAATGTTTTCACATTAGTCCGACACATGGGAAGTGTTATCACGCTCATATCTCAGTTTGAAAAAATGTCAACTTTTCAAGATTCTCCCAACATTTAAAACCTACTTCTCTTAGTTCATACTCGGCCTGTAGTCCACTCTACGCACCCAGCTTATTGTTAGCGATTTAAAAGACAGAACGCAGGTGTGTTCTCTTAGCAAAAAAATTGAGGTACCCAAATTTTAGTTCTCCAATGAAACTTCAGACAGTTAATCCGAATAAGGGGCTGATCTGAAACCGGTTCAGTCGCTCTAGACCTATACTACACATAAAAATTGCTCGGGCGTCCCGTATGACCTACAGCTTGTTGGACAGAGGTCTGCATTTGTTATACACTGCCCCGCGCCGGGGCAGTGTGAAACGACAGTGGGGCAGTGTGTAACAAAGGCTACGATTGAGCTCTGCAGACAGCTAGAAAGGAAAAAAACAGCTTCCCCTTCCTTTCTATATTAGCTGCTGATGGAACAGTTTTTATAAACAAACTTATTGTTTCAAACGGGATTTTCTTAAATTTTAAGAGTTTTCAATTAAAAACATCAAATTGGTATTTATTTTGGACGTATTTTGTGAACTTGAACTATAAACAAAACGTTTTGCCAAGGTTGTGTTAGTTACAACGACCATTTTACAAGTGCTAAGGTGTCAACTTCGATAGAAAATCATTAGTGCGGGTGTTGTTTATAACCCGACGACCTCATCCAAAAAGATCATGCCGTAATATGATGAAAATTGTCTTAAAATCGGGTGAACCCAACTTGGCCGGCCTCTCACCGCCGTAACAACTCCCCATCGAAGGCGTTCTAGATTGCAAACGACCTTAGTCATTCAGAACACATAATATTAACATTCACATTTAGTTCCGGACGTGCCTTTTTCGAAATAAGGGTGTCTGTGATACACGGCCTCTGTTACACACTGCCCCAACCCCCATTACTTAAATCGACTGGCGCTTCACCTAAAAATGGTTCCACGACTGAAGAAAAAATAATGTGTCCTTCTATCCAAATTCATGAGCAGTGCCCCGTCCAGATACTTCTTTCGGGTTTTTAGGGAGGCCACCCTGGCCTCTCGCACCTCTACGTACTGAGTCCGTACATTTCCAAAATTGCTTGTAATCTGATCAATTTACTCAATCATTGTGAACCGTTTGTTGCAGAGCCAGGTAGTGCACCTGCAAGCCAAACACTCTTTGGCCCCGACTGCCAGATCCTGTCAGGGTCCCTCAACGGCTACGTAGCTGTTGCCAACCAGGCCGCGGGCAAAGACGTTGCTGGACCACGTGCCGGCTTACGCACTGCGTGCTCGTCCAGTGACAACAACTCCTGCAATGTCCAGTGCATCAACTCAGGCTGGCGGGGTGGCTACTGCTGCTGCACCTGTGGGACCGTCAGCTTGTGCACCTGCTACCGATAAATGGCATGTGAACTGATTAAGAGAGCAACGAGCCCGGCAGGAGTGGTCGGATCTGACGAGCTAAAGGCTGACCAAGTCCCTGCTTATAGTTAAACTGACGTTCAGTTGTTATTTGTAAATTTTTGTACGTACTTTGTTTTGTTTTTGGTATTAGAAATATGGTAAAAAGGAATTTTTATTGCTTGTTAAATGCATTTTCTCGATCTGTTCCAAAAGTCCTATGTTAAGAAGAAACACAGAAAAAATCTCAATCAAGAATCAATCTTTAAAGCGTATGGTACAAATTTAAAAAAGAGGTCTGTTTTCGGTTTTTTATTTTTTGGAATACCGGCGTAGACGCACTGTTAAATTTTTTTTGTGGAGATTTTACAGAAAAAGTCTGGGTATACCAGTTGCCATGTAAAAGTCTGGTAAAATTACCAAAGTCTGTAAAATTACATACACTGGTAAGACTAACTCCACAAAATTTCTGTAAAACTGATACCAAACGCTCCTGTAAATAAGTTTACGAACGTTTGCTGTAATTTTTACCCACATGTTTCTGACGTAATATATGGAAGAAAAAAAATCGGCGGCTGTTTTCTGTTTATATATACACTGCTCATCAAAATTAGCGGGTGGATTTTTCAAACTGACGTAGATTCTATGTTTTTTGAGTACGGAAGATAAGAATTGGCATGCAGGCGTCCCAATCATTCATCTCGAGGCTCTGAAAGTGCGCAAGCCGTTGGCCACCCCTGTCGAGCTGTGCAACCCCTAGAGTGGAGGAGGGTGAAACAAGCAGGCCCACCCTTCCGCCAAACGGAGTTGCCAGCTCCACTTCGCTGCGCCGGCAACTCCGTTCGGCAGCGGCCGGACCTTCTTGACCTGCCGGCGGCGATGGACGGGCCTTCGGCCGAACCATTTCAGTCTGGCGAGTTACTGAAGTGCATAATCAAATAAATAATGTGACCGGTAAATCACTTTGCATATTCGAGTAAACTACAGCGTCCAGCGGGGGGCCTGCGGCCCAAGAAATTTGCTCCTAGGTCATGACAAAAGACTATAACGGGGCAACACCGTGACTACACCCCACCCTTCTGCTTTGCTTAAGAATAAAATAAAATGAACCCGCGCAGTTCTTAGATTGTATATTGTTTGTCTAACGGTCTTAAAACTTTACTTTTTGCCATTGTTTTCAATAAATCCACCTCTAGGGCCGAAACAGTAAAAGATACGGCTAATCCGAGGGTAATTCCTGATTCAGAATGTGTTGATTTGGGGGGTACTTTCTCCGACATTTTACGATTGGACGCCTTCTTGTACCTCTATATGTGCAACGTGGTCATTTTCGACGTATTTTAGTCGAACAAAGCACTCTAGCGCCCAAATGGTGCAAGATAGAGTCAAACGGACAGATTTTTCGCCCAAAGGGCTCTACTTTCACAAGTTACCCCTTAGAAAACCATAAAAAAATATCTTTTTCCGACCTATGGGGCCAACCCCTATTTCTTTGTTACCCCCTTTCACCCCCTTAGGGATGGTTGTCAGGATTTGCACCAGGCGTTTCGTTGTCCAGGAGTGACCCTAAGATAGCATGAAATTTGTAGACCTCTAGCTCACCTCCTTCCTCTTACACGGACGACAGACGGACACGAGAGCGGTTGCATAAGCCCGCTTTAATACTTTTTAAGTGCAGAAGGGCGGGCTCATAATAGTTTTTTTTAAAAGCAGAAGGGCGGGCTAAAAACCGTCCGTAACAACTCCAAAATTGGCACTTAAAGTTCTCGGAAAGTCAAGATTTTTCGTGAGTCGACCCAAATTTTTGTTGTCTTACGAACGGTGTAAGCAAAATTGCGATCGGACCAACCCATCCCCTTTCACACTCACCCCCATTCCCTCGAAGGGGTGAGTGTTGAGGATCGTCAAATCGAGCTCGACATCCTCTGCGGACATTCCTTTACACGGCTCATGTGTTGTTTTTTTCGAATCGGACAACCCCCAACCAAACCACCCCGCGAATGCGCAACCCCATTTTGAATATCGGCCATATTGGAACCATAGGGTTGAAGTTTTGGAATAAAACTTTCTGGAATGATCCCTTTGGCCATTTGGAACACATCCATACAGAGAAACCCGGTGTCAACATCTTCAACCCCTTCCCAGGGGGTATCTACCCCCGAGTGACCGTGCACTCCTTTTGGAGGGGGTAGAGGGTTGGGTCCATGCGGATCTGTTAAAGAACACCGCAAGGAAGCTTCCCTCAAACTTTCAAGTCGATCGGACCAACTGTTCCACGTACAGACTCGATAAAGTGGCAAATCGTTCAAAAACTGCCCCCAAGTCCAACCAGCCCTGTCGCCGAACTGAGGGGAGGGAGGGTAGCGACCCCACCCAAAGCGTCCTACCTTGGCCCAACCTTTATCTCGAAGGCCGCAGAGTCTTGGGTCTCAGCGGTGACGTTCGCGTCGGTTAGGTCATCTCATTTTGGTATTCGAAGTCGACGATTTCGGAGGTACGCACATTTAATGATAGATTAGACCTAGTAGAGACCCTGTGCAAAGTTTGGGCCCTGTGCGATAACGATTACCCGACCCGCATCGCGATTTTCCGAGCGGGCTCAAAGTTGGCGCGCTGTGACCCGACACCTTGTCGGCTCTGCCGTGCTGACACGGTGGGGTCAGAGGAGACGTCTCGGGTTTAAATTGTGACCATATGGGTCGGGTCCTACTTCACATCCGACATGGTGAATCCGAGCTCGCGACTGACCGGGCGTCTCCAGGGGCCCAAACGTCGCGGGTCGCGCGGCTCGCTCGGCTCGCTCCTGGCAGCCGAAATTGGCAAAATCAAATATATTGTTTTTGCCAATACGTAGGCCGTGCCGTGCCCGAAACTATGTAGCGTGCCAGGTAGCGGTGACGCGTTCACTGTAAAATTAAATAATGTCAAAAACGCCTTCGTACTAGGCTACCATGCGCTACAGGCGTGTAGCGTGGGCAGTCTATGTGACGTCACCACAGGCGCAAATACCTGTTTTTAAAACTTTTTCCAGTGATCGCGTCACCGCGTACCTGGCACGCTACATAGTTTTGGATAGCGCACGGTACGGCCTACGTATTGGCAAAAACAATATTTTTGATCTTGCCAATTTCGGCTGCCAGGAGCGAGCCGCGCGACCCGCGACGTTTGGGCCCCTGGAGACGCCCGGTCAGTTGCGAACTCGGATTCACCATGTCGGATGTGAAGTAGGACCCATATGGTCACAATTTAAACCCGAGACGTCTCCTCTGACCCCACCGTGTTAGCACGGCAGAGCCGACAAGGTGTCGGGTCACAGCGCGCCAACTTTGAGCCCGCTCGGAAAATCGCGATGCGGGTCGGGTAATCGCACAGGGCCCAAACTTTGCACAGGGTCTCTGCTAGGTCTAATCTATCACTAGACGTGCGTATCTCGAAAAAAAATTCCCGTGAGATGGCCTAGCGTCGGTGAAACCGATGTATTTCATAGTCAACCGCCTACGGGTTTCTCTGTTGAAAGTACTTGTGCCGCTTGTACCCCAGGTGGGATCAAACTCGCGACCTCATGGTCGTGAGTCCGATACCTTACCCAGTGCGTTACGGCACGCTCCGTCGAGGGGTCTCCGACTCGCATAATAATCAGTACACGTCGCCATAATACCCTTATAATACTCCATAATACTCATAATACCCGTAATACCTCATAATAGAACATAATACCCTTATAATACTCCACAATACCCTGATAATACCCTAATAATACCTTTATAATACCCCATAATACCTAGAATACATCATAATATATCATACCTCATAATACTCCATTCTCCACAGTGCTTTAATGGTAAAATCCATATAGATAAATATAAACAGCCATGTAGCGCGTTGCGCGTTGTACCACCAAGAGTCCTGGTTCTGACCTGGGCAGATACTTCTGCTTGTTCACCATGCCGCTCACTGCAGAACACCAGCGAGTACAGCGCGTGGCGGTGCTGTTCCGCGCCACTAACACCAACCTCGCCGAAGCCGTGGCCTCCGACACGGAGGACGTGGTGCTATGTCCGTCACCGTCATGACCTCGTCAGCCGCATCACCGTCACCGTGCCCGACGTCCTCAGGCTGCCATCGCAGTCCAGCCCCAGGAGGGCTTATTTAGATAGCAGGTAGAGTCTGCCGCCGTCCTGGCAGGCCTCTTCCCTTACGGTTGGGCGCTTGGCTCAGGGGGTAGAGTGACAGGCAAATAACTGTAAGGTCGCGGTTTCGACCCTCCGGAATTCCTCTTCTTTTTCTTTTTTTATTAGATCTATGGATAGACATACGTACGTACGTATATAAAAATACGTCTATTACATGTCGCAAATTATAACATTGTATAAGACTGTACTTCACTTGATTGTGTTTTCACGTCTTCACCTCTCTCTACTCTTGGGTAGAGTCAATGAAAGCCGATCTTGAATTCGTTTTTGAATTTCAAAATCCCCCTCTAGGCACGGTGGCCGCCTCGCAGTGGTGTGCGCCCGGCTGCTCCTAGGGGTGAGTTCCCCACCAAGTCACCGCCAAACTTTTTCTTGACCTCTCTTGGTCCGTCCTCCCTATCTCTCTCGTCTCTCTTATCGGACCGTGCCCGGCGTCACCGGCCGGTCCACCCGTCTGCCTGCTCAGGAGTCGAGTTTTTAGGTGCCGGCAGAGAGCGCCTCCGCTGCGGCCGGGGTGCTGCTCACCAGCAAAAGCCGCCCTAGTTTCATCCGCCCGGTCTTTTTGACGTCAGGACGCTAGATGGCTGGGGTCACTCTCACCCCCACCTGCCTTCCTTGGTACCCACTTCTTTCACCTGTTTGTCCGCCCTGCGCCAGGGGGTGCTTAACTGGGCTTCAAAACATTTCCGTCTCACTTCGAGACAGGGTCCGCGAGCCCTTAGGGTCACTCTGCTCGCACCGCACTCGGCGGTGTTGGCGAGTGGCCACTTGCTTTTTCTCCGGCCCTTCAGGCCGAGGCCCGGCGGGGCTAAGG